CTTTTTTCATACAATACACAAAACACCAGACACTATATCAATTTTGTGTCTGGATATAGGAAAGTTTATGAAAATGATGGTGTCATGACATTTCAGCTCACTAATTCATATTTTCTAATTTTATGAAGGTTAAATCAATGGCAAGGGAATATGGAATTTCAGATGAGCATATTGATGTTGCAATCACATACTTAAGTGATGTTGGTGAAATCATGTATCACCCAATGGAAGAAGCATTAAAGGACTTAGTGGTGATTCAACCGATGGAGATAGTTAAGTATTTCAGGACTGTGTTCACCATCCAAGATGAACAACAATGGGTAAGATTATGTTATATATAATCTTTAGTGTTATTTTTAAAAGAAAAAAAGACATCCAGCATGGGGAGTATGTATTATACTATCGTAACAAAGTAAAACTGAGGTTTTAACAAGATTGCAACAAGCCACTGGAGGGATGTTGAAATAACTAAAAAAAAAAAGGTTTGGCTACAAAAGAATCGTTAAGAAAATTTGTAATCATGTAATCTAACAGTAGTTACAGAAATATACAGTGGCGGATCAAAAATTTAGGAGGCCTCCCATGAATCCACTTGTCATTGCTAATGATAGCTTCATTCAATTTAATTTTACCTCTAGGAAAGTACACAGATACAGTACTTCTGGTACATCTAAGCCTGGCTGTCGCTTCTTTGTGTTCTTATGCCCTTTAAGATGGTTAAATTTTCTATTTGCAAATTCATGCAGTAAAAAGTGGACAATTAAATACCAGCATTGATTGTTAAAAAATCAGAGAGATGCTCGTTATACTTTCACGTTGTTTCCTATCACTGAGGAAGTCACAAAGCCATGGAACGATCGATCCATGGACTCCAATTATTGCAAGTGGAGTCTGTGAATCGATAGTTCCCTGGCTTTGTGACTTCCTCAGTGACAGGAAACAAGTATAACGAGCATCTCTCTGATTATTTAACAATCAATGTTGGTATTCCCCAAGTAACTAAGTTTGGCTGTGAAGGATTTAAAATAATGATAAATGATGATGATTGTTAAAATGATGATGCTGCTAAAGCTTCTAACTGCTCTGTTCTTAAGTATGTTGACGACCTCACACTTTATGAAAATAAAATAGTTAATTAGAGCAGTTTTTTACAAGAAGACCTTAATGCATTTAATGATTGGTGTATTGGTAACTCACTTAGTCTTAACCCAAATAAATGCCAAGGGCTTCAGGTTTGTTTTAGCAAAAACCCCCTCTAACCAGTCACTATTTATGGGTGACTCTCAGTAACAGTAACAATATTTCTCGCTTACCTACACGCACCAAACAATTTTTCCTTTAGCCCTAACCGCAGTTAGAGAACAGTTTATTGTAAACCCTCCTCTCAGACCGAATTCATGATTCTCTTTTTTATGTTGAGTCTTGTTTTAGATTTTAATTGACTGTATTTTATTGTTGATCTGTATTTGTTTCTTACTATTGGATTTTAATTAATTGCGTTTTATTGTTGATTTGTTATTGTAACTTGCAATTTGGCCATTGACCACGATTATGTTACAAATTTATTTATAAAGTGATATATAAATATTCATTTCGTTAAGTAATGCTTTAATATATAAATATTCATTTCGTTAAGTAATGCTTTTTAATTTTTTCCTACAGAAACCAAAATTTATCGATGACTGGAAAAGGTTGAAAAAAGGTGTTCTGACGAAGCCCCTTCTTAAGCATCTTTGGAAGGAGTTTCCAATACTTAACGACGACGACACAATGTTTAATTTTTTTGTCAACTTGATGAACAAATTTGGCCTCATATGCCAAAAAAAGAAACAAGTATGTTTGATCAAATAGATATACTTGATAGTGTAATAAATTTTCATTAGCATTTTAGATCTTTTTAAAAAGGATTGTGTCAAAATTTGAGCTTTAACCATTGACCAAGGTCAATAGATGAATGATAAGAAAAGTGATTCTAAATATTAAAGAATGACTATTGTAATAATAATAATTAAAATGTTTTTATATAGTGCCTAAAAGATGACCGATTCCTCTATTCGCTTTTGTCTAAAACTGTGGTAGAAAATTATCCCCTGCCTGACAGCAACCGGCATTTCAGAGTTTAGGTTTTGGGGCAAGGAATTACAAGGTTGGGCTTAACTGCATTCACTTAACTAAAATACCTGTATAACCCTTTTTTTGCACGTCCATAACAACAGTCACGAAAAAATACTGTGAAGGCGCGTGAAAATCGTAAGATTCAGAATGTACTTTTGTCTTAAAAAGCGATGTTAGGCAATACCCATAGCTAATATAAAACTGATATTCCCTCAATAAAGATTTCATTAAAACATTCTTACTTCTTTGTGCAGTATTTTCCATCATTCAGTCACATTTTATAATGTAAATGCAGTAAATGAATGTCATTTCTATTCTGAAAATAAGCTGTCATGGCTAGGCCAGTAGGGTACATTACATCACACTTTACATCACACTTCACACAGCCTGAGTAGAGTGGTACCAGTGGTGGTCTGTTTTCCTAGCTGAGCCATGTCTACCTGGATGGAATAAAAATCGTAGCATTTTATTTCTTCTACAATACAGATATTTCCCATTAGTTGATAACTAAAAAAACATAATGTTAGGTTTCAGAATCATGATAAAATGACTGGAAATTGTAAAATCGCAAAAGTAAAAGGTTGAGAAATATTAAAAATTGTGAAAATATAGGGCCACGATAAAAAGGGGCTATACAGTATTGTAAAAAAAAACTATCCCTGGCCGGACACCAAGATGGTATTTCTGGGTCTAGGTATCGGGGCAGGGAATTAATAACAATAATATGTCAGTCTTATATACCACTTCATGCTTTCCTTCAGTTACAAGTTTCACACTACAATATGGTTTTTTTTATATTTTTTATTTCGTTTACATCCAACAGCAAGTACACTTGCCACTTACATGATGAGAATGATGCTTTATAAACTAAGTCTCTTTATGAGTCTTAGTGAGTGGAGTTGATTTTTCGTGAGAAAAGGGATTAAACCCAGGACCCTGGGATCAGAAGGCAAGCATCTTAACCACTGAGCTATTCAACTCCCAAAGAAGTTATCTCTCTCTGGACAATAACCCAGTATTTCTCAGTCAATTGAAGGTTTTAGGGCCGGAATTAAAAGCAGTGGCGGAACCAGCGAAGGAACTGGGGCTTAAGCTCCCCCACCTGACAAGGTCAAGTCTCCCCATTGACAGAGCTCGTCAGGCAGTCAGACAAAAAAAAATGTAAAAATAGGCCCATGCCAAGCCAACACATGTTCATTACGGTCTGCGAGTATCATTTCTGGCCATCCAGAGGTTCCTATTCTTAAAAAAATCTCCAAGCTAGGGCCTACGAGCTCAAGGGGTGGGGAGCTTAGGAATGGGGCCCAAGAAAATATATCCTAGAGCCACCACTGATTACAAGACAGGACAAGAAAAATCACTAATCATTCAAGTTTATGATGTAAATTTAACACTTATACTTATTTTTATTAGTGAAATTCAGTGTATGTTGATTTCATCTAGTAAATGGCAAAAAATTGTACAAAGTACATGATGTTATGTACAGTTAATATGATGTATTCAGAAATCTACATTCTTTGTATTAAGAAAATAGACCACATTGTCTAGTTCCTTACACATCTACCCATTCTAACACTTCTGTTTTTTCCCTCACTTTTGTTGCTTCAACAGAATACTGCTTCAGATGATATTGCTTACTATGCTGTTTCACATTTACAACCAAAGCAATATTCAGAAGATCCAAAAGATGACCAAGGGGATGACAAAGTATCCATCTTCCATGACTTCTGTGGTTTTCTTCCCGACTATTTATTCCATCTGGTCATCACAAAATTCATTGAAGAGTTTCAGGTGGAAGAGGGATATGAACCTAAACTGGCATATGAGTATGTAAAGATTAGCATTGACGATCATCATTATGTGAGGATAGCAGTTGCAACTATCAACTACTGTCGGATGTTTAAGGTACAATTCCCTGGATAAACTGACTAATTGCCATTGTTCCTTAAAAAAAACCCATATGAAAAAATAGAACCGACCGACTGTCCCAGCATGCGATTGCGCCTACGCCCAAGGTTTGTCCTCATTCCTTTGTCGGGGCTCAATGAACCACGACCACACCCAGGCAGCGATTGTTAAAAGTGAATAGAAACGAAGCTAAGAAGACAGTATTCAGCAGATTAGTTTGCAGTTTGAATTAAAAAGTTCACTTGAGTTTAAATTTCATTTAAAAAAGTCATATTTTTAAAAATTTATTTCTATTAGGCTCTCCACTCACATGAAATCTGAAAGAATAAGATATGTTTTCCTTAATTCGGCCTATATAAATTTACATACTATTTATTAATGATTAAGAATTATAATAAACTAAGTCATTTTAGGGTTAATGAGGGTTAACTATTCGAAAAATGAATCCAAAATCTGAGTATTTTTCAGTTTTACGCTGACTTAGCTTTATAGTCGAACCAGTCAATCTTTAGGCAAAATTATAATGAACACAGAAGTAATTTTAACATAAATATTTTACGGAATCCGTTCCTGAAATATACAAATAATAACATACCAAAAGCCCGAAAAAATCTAATCTAGAAGCGTATAAATGCATGTCGTTGCCAAGTTGTTGCTAACGAAAAAATGTGAATTATAGGCTAATACGCCCGTGCGCGATCCAAAAGCGGGGAACACATAGGTTTATCGCGTCAAAGGGATCTGTTGCCGAGTGATCTCCTTCTCAATAATACCTCCATGGTATAAGCGTAGTAGTTGATGCACATGCACATACACCACCGCCACTGGTGTAGTACTTTCGCAGTTTAAGGAAACTTCCAGTACAGTGTTTGCTTGTCTTATTGTATTTGAATGTTTTCATATCTTTAATATGGTTTTTTGTCAATGTAACATTCGACATCTCTATGTATTTTCTACTACTGAAATAATAATATAAAGGCCTATTTATACTTGCAACGATAACAATAAAAAGCAATATATAATATAAAGGAAATGTTTTAACTAGGAAGATTCAATAACAATTTATGATTTATTGTGTTATCCATGATAATGACGTCATTTGAATTGTTTTGTCAAACTACTGCATTTTGTTATCGAATTGTTTTAGTGTTAAAACCTCTCTTAACGTTGCAAGTATAGACAGACATTAAAGGAAGCAAATTATACTTTAAGTAGTAATTCAAGTTTTTTGTAACTTTTTGCAGACAACAATTGTGAGAAGACAAAAACCCAATGACCCTTGTGTTGTGGAACCAAGTCCTGTAACATGTAAAAAGGTAGGAGAACATAATGGTCAATAGTCTTTTTTCACCAAGCAGGGGCAGTGCCAGTAATTCCCCAAAGAGGGGTCCAAGTTTCCCAACAAGGGTGTCCAGGCTCCTCGATGAGGGGTCCACACACATCTTCTCTCCCCCCTTCCCCTGGGAAGCCTAGCACTCCCCCGGTCGGGGAATTCTGTTAATACTGACGGGGGCTCCAAGCAGTAGGTCCAAAGGTATCCGATGGGAGTGGGGGTCCTTCCCCCTCTTGGGAACCCCCTCCCCCCAGCACTGCAATATATACAATTTATTTTTCATTTAAATAAAAACATCTTATCATGATTAACATTATTATATAACACTATAGTTACTAATACTAACACTAAAAGCACACATTTTTAGGCCAGAATAGATATTGGTTTTATAATGGCCTCGGAAAAAAATGGCCCTGGTAAAAATGGCCCCAGTAAAAATGGTCCCAATTGACAAGTAGGTAAAAATGGCCCCAATGAAAAAATTTAGTAATATAAATTTTTTTTTTTTTAAATCTTCAAATATTTAAATACCAGCTGTAAAAAGCAAGAATTGAATCAATAACAAATACAGCTACACAACAGATGAAAATAATGTACTGAGAGATTTTTGGAAAACAATGGCCATTGAATAACATTTTCTGATAGTAGAAATAAGTTTTAAAAACGTTATTCCACTACAAAGTAGAGGAATGACATACAGTACTTCAACTACCAAAATATGCAACTCATAGATAACCACAAAATTCACTTTTGTGAAGTTTCAAATGAGTTACTTCAAAGAAGTATTTGTTAATCAAATATTGTTTTTAAAGTAAACTGAATAATTGGGAATAGGCCTACATTTATTTAAGCAACTTATTTAATTGCATACTTGGTTTTTACTCCCCGCCAAATAAATATAATTGCTTAAAACTATACTAAATAATGTAAACTGAGATACTATATATACATATGTAAATATGGCAATTATGCTAAGAATTAAAATGGCGTGTAATTGTGAGGGTAGGGTAATTATGGTAGGATTAAATGGTATTTCTGAATCCCACAAACCTCCCAAAACACACTGTAGAAAACCAAACAATTCAATTTTGATTGACTCACTTGGTATATCAATAGGAAAATTAAATATGCATAAGAACCTATTTTTTGGTTAAAATGTTAATTTTTTTTGTGAAAAAATACTTGCAAATACACCACAAACCTTCAAACACACTGCGAACCCCATCCAAACCCTTTAATTATGATTGCAGAACTCTCTATTTCTAAAAAAAAAATAATTTGATGTTCATATAAACTCATTGTTTGTGGGGTTTACCAATACCCGGATTGAATTTCTGGAAAATTGTGATTCCGCTTCCGTGAAATTGGCCACAAATAAATTATTTTAGTATTAATAAATGCATGATTTATGTTGATTTATTGATTATATGTTGCTATTTTTTAACATTTAAATGGGAAAAAATAAAAAGTGTTATTCATGGCTTTTTTTTATCTTTGAAGATTTTATCATTGAATATGTAATTCCTGCAAAAAGTAAAATGTAAATGACAATTTATTTGATGTTAGATTCCTTTTTAAAAACTAAATTATTTCAGTTTAAAAAAATGCATATAATGATTTTTTTTTAAATCAGTTTTAATACAGAATTTTATTATTGGGGCCATTTTTACCTACCTGTCATTTGGGGCCATTTTTACAGGGGCCATTTTTACCAGGGCCATTTTTTCCGGGGCCGTGAAGATTTTAAAGCATATACAGCCTTCGACTAACTTTTAGAATTCAACTCCACTTTAAAGTGGATAAATCAAGAAAAGTCAGACATGTCTTGTGTCCACCATGTTTGAGTCTTGTGGGGAAACAGCTTTCTAGCTAGTTAGTAATGGACACAAAATAGTCAAGTCTATTTATTTATATATTTATTTTAGCACAGTAAAAATAAAATATGAGAAGGATTGCAGGGCTTGTTTCCGTAAAGTTCTCCTGGATAAGTACTAGTCATCATCATCATCAAATCATTATATCAATAACATTAATGAATCATATCAATAACAATCAATCAATTAATCAATCAATCAATCAATGAACTATTTAATGAATGAATGAATTAATTAATTAATCAATCATCAATCATAATGGCTCTTAGTAATTTTTCATTTTGGTCTGTGTAGGTATTGGATTCCCTTAATAAAGTCCTTATAGGTTTGTGTTCACCTGGAAAAGGGATTAAGTACAAGATGTGTATACCTTGTAGGCCCAGTGACAAACAGCATTGCATGCACATTGTTGAAACTTTCAACAAAAATACTGTGTCATGTGACGATTTTGTAATACCCATCGAACGCTATTGCAGATTGTTTGGAGGTAATTTTTAACAGTTTATTTGCTTGTTTGTTTATTATATTAGCATGTATTGATTTTATTTCATGTTTTGGTATTGCTATTAAATGTTCTATAGAAAAAAAGATGATATGAGATAGAAAAAAAGATGATATGAGATAGAAAAAAAGATGATATGAGATAAAAGATAATCATTTTTGAGTTCATACCTTTATTCTAGATGCCAGTGAAGGTGTTACAGATATGCAAAGTAAGTATCATATTGACAATCTACAGTAT